ATGTATAACTGAGAAAGTAAAAATCACCAGAACTAACTACTATATATGTCTTACTAGTTTGGGGTACATTCTTCTGGATGCTTTCCTATGTATACATTTGTCTCTCTGGGTGTCTATGTACTGGTACTATTTGTGTATTATATAGATGCATGTGTATATGTAGGTACACATACTTTCATGAATATGTGCATTCTCTCTCTACATCTATTGGTATCCACATTAGAGTCACCTGTGGAGACAGAGGGGCCTCCCCCCAACCCTGCCACCTGCATAGTTGCATCGTTAAGTCAGGATTGATGATTCATGCACACATCACCAGGGTATGAACAGGTTTTTTTTTTACTTGATTACATAGTTGAGGTCCCTCGGAGAGCAGGCTAGCCCTCTCAGGTAGATCCTAATTGACCTTGAGAGGGCAAAGCAAGGAGACTGGCTGGGGTTTTTATTGTGGCTAGGGGGAGGGTTCCCACACTAGGGCAGGCACTGGTTGGTTTGGATCTTTTGTTGGCACGCAGGCGTTCTCACCAGTTTGTTCAGAAATTGGGGCAGAAGAGGAGGGAAGGGTGAGGCTTAAGGGCTGGCACAGTCATCAAATGGAGTCTGACTCCTCTTTACACTATAAATGTACATCTGTGTGAGTATATATGTAGCTAGGCCTGTATATAAACACACCTACAGAAACTATCCGTCTATCCACACCTATCTACATATAGATCTACATACTGCAACTGCCTTCACATTAATAATCTGTTTATGTTAGTACCTGTAGATGAACCTCATTCTTTCAAGTAAATGCATGGATTTCCATTGCATGGATGTGCCATTAGATAACCATTATTTTGTTGATGAATGCATCATTTCTGTGTTCTTTTGGCTTTTACAAACAATGGGACACTGAGCATCATGCACACCACACCTTTGCGTGTGTGCAACTACATTCACCATTCAATAGCACTGAGTTCTTTCATGTTCTAGATGCTGTACAAATCAAGGTCCCACATTCTTTGAAGTTACATTCTAGTGGAGAATGGACAAGGGATAAGTGTTTTGCTAATATGTTAGTATAATGAATGCTATGGAAACATAGAAAACAGGGAAGGGAGATAGTGATGGGGGTGGCTTGCTAGCTAGGGTGGTTAGGGAGGGCTCCCCACTGCAATAGGGCAGAGAGTTGTGGGAATGACTGTGGGATATGTCTGAGTGGAAAGCATTATTTTGTAGAAAAATCTGTTGGATAATTTTTAAGTCAAAATACATACGTATCTTAAATTGTGATGGATCTTGTCAAATTGTCTTCTCTATTAAAAATATGCACTCCTTTATATAACATATTAACACTTTTTCTAAGATTTATTTCTAAGATTTATTTTTAGAGAGAGAGGGAGTGAGTGAACACAAGGGGAAGGGCAGAGGGAGAGGTAGAGGATCCCAAGCAGACCCTAGGCAGAATGAGGAACCTGAGGCCAGGAGCAGAGTCCCATGTGGAGCTCCATCATTACCCTGAGATGACCTGAGCTGAAACTTAGGGTTGGGCACTTTAAGTGACAGCACCACCCAGGCTCTCACATTCTTATATAAGCATCTGTGTTCTTTGCTTCCTTGTCAAAAAGAATGGTAAACTTAAAAAAAAAAAACTTTTTCGATATGGTAGACAATAAATTTTATCTTAATTTGTGCTTTATTAAGAAATTGAATATCGGGATGCCTGGGTGGTGCAGCAGTTTAGCGCCTGCCTTTGGCCCAGGGCGCGATCCTGGAGACCCGGGATCGAGTCCCACGTCGGGCTCCCTGCATGGAGCCTGCTTCTCCCTCTGCCTGTGTCTCTGCCTCTCTCTCTCTCTGTGTGACTATCATAAATAAATAAAAATAAAAGAAAAAGAAACTGAATATCTTTCATCTGTTTATTATACATTTATATATATTGGCAATTGCTTATTTATGTGATTAGCAAATTTCCTACAGGCCATTAGCCATTATTATACTATGTATTTTTCCATTGTGGTTTGTCTTTTGATTTTACGATCAAATTTTTTGGCATAAAAATTTAAACATTTTTATGTAGTCAACTTACCAAGCATTTTTACTTTAGTGTTTTGTGTCATGCTTACTGCCCTTCATCATTCATGCATCCATTATTTCTAAAAATAAGACAATGCAAGTTCAAAGGCTTTCAGTGTTTCATCTGAAACTCCAAATTCTTTGATCTTTTCACCATTTATGCTTAAGGCCTGAGGTAAGAATTCAGCTTTAAAAAGCAACAAAACAATGCCTTGTGGGTTGTCCGCAGGCCATTAATCATCCTTTTGTGTGGCTCCTCTCAATCGATTTACCATACTGCTGTTATAATAAACCCGATTTCTAAACTTGGATCTATTTAGGCACCAGTATCCTAATGCTAATGATTAGTTATTGCCACTCAGGCTAATAACTTCCCTCAGATTCTCTCACCTGTAAATTCCCTGATTTTTTAAAAGATGTTCTTTCAAATTAACCTTAGAATCAATTCTCCCACCCCCAAAATTGACTCAAGTCCTACTGGGATTCTGACTGAGAATCCATTAGAATTACAGATTATTTTGAGAAGTATACTTTCACATTTTTCTAAGAACTGAATATACTTACTCAATTTTATGTATTTTAATTTTCTACATTTTATACATTTGTTTATACCTATTTTATTTTTGTCCCTATCAGTTATGTCCCACACATTTATTTTTCATGGAGATGTTGCTGTTGTTTCTGGTTTGATACCCTTTTAGAACACATTCTAGGATTTTAGATTTTTTTTTAAGATTTGTTTTTAAGTACCCTCTATACCCAATGTGGGGCTCGAATTTATGACCCTAAGCTCAAGTCTCATGATCTATTGAATGAGGCAGTCAGGCACCCATAAGATTTTAAATCTTTTTTTTTTTTTTTTAGATTTTAAATCTTTTAAGGTTCATTTTATGCACCCAGAAAATGGTCTGTGTAAGTGAATAGTCATTCCATGCGCAGTAGAATGTGTATTCTGCTGCCGGTGGGAAAGTTGTTCTGTAAATGTCAATTAGATCCTGTTGGTTGATGGCATATAAATTCTTCTATATCCCCAATTTTCTGTCTAGTAATCAATTATTGAGAGGGGTACTGAAGTCTTCAACTATATGTAGATTCATCTAGATCTTTCAGTTTTTACTGAATGTGTTTTGAAGCTTTTGGTAAACCTTTATAATTTTGTCTTGGTGGCTAAACCTTTCATCACTGTGTAATATCCCTCTTTCCCTGGTTTGGGCTGATTATTACAAGTAGAGATTAGGGATCCCTGGGTGGCTCAGCAGTTAAGCGTCTGCCTTTGGCTCAGGGCATGATCCTGGAGTCCCGGGATCGGGTCCCACATCGGGCTCCCTGCATGGAGCCTGCTTCTCCCTCTGCCTGTGTCTCTGCCTCTCTCTCTCATGAATAAATAAAATATTAAAAAAAATAAAGTCCAAATTTAAAAAAAAGTAGAGATTAATAACAGATGGATCTTTTTGATATAGTGAATCAAAGAGGGGCCTGGGAATCTGCATTGTAACAAAATTCTCAGATGATTTTTATAACCTGGCAATAGAGTTCTTGACGCAAACAATAGAAACTGACTTTGGTTAACTTAGGCAGAAAGGAACTACTTAGAAGAATATCCAGTAACATCTACTGCATTGCTTGAGTCCTGCTATGAACACACACCCCTGCTCCCTGACAAAAAAAAAAAAAAAAAAAAGGGGGCAGCAGTCACGCTTTCTGATCCTACATAGTAGAGCAGTCATGTAACTTAAATTGAACCTATCATGTCTCACACTACCTAGGACTTTAAGTCTGTTGCAAAGGGTATAAGGTAAGGATAGAATTCATGCCTGGTGGTGGTGAGAATTGTAGTTTGAAAGGAGAAATGTCAGGATTGACATCTAGACACATGCTTAACTATGGTATGCTTTGATCATGGTTCAACTGCCTGGTCTCTTTTTGGTTCTTACCTCTTTTCCTATATCTGAGCCTAGTTTCTCAAATTCTTGTTTGGGGAAAATTGTAACTTACTTGATTTTGGGAAATAAATTAGAAAGTAATACCTCACCCTTGCTAGGCCAACTACACTGTAGTTAGGAAGTTTATATCATGGGTTCTGTTTGCATAGCACTAGAGTGTGTGAGGGATCTACATGCAATTTTGGACAAGCAGTCAGGCCTTACTTTAGGCTCATTTGCAACAAAAGTTAGACTAGACCTGTTTATTTCTAGGTCTGACCAAATTGCAGTATTCTGACTGTAGAGAGCCTGGCTATTCATGTAACCGTTCTTGTGAGATTAGTTGACAACTACCAACTGCTTAGCTTTTTGCTAACTTGAGGCAAAAAGTTACATCTGTTAACAGATGTAGGAGATGGGAGTGTCTGAACTAGCCAGTAAAAGAGCATGGTCTTGCCTAAAGGCTGTACATAAATTGGCAGAAATCTACTCAATGTGGAAAAATGGACATCAAACCAAATATTGATCATCATACAAGCATCATGAACATAGCTGTGTTATCTTTTCAGAGACCATTATATTTTATCTCCAAAAAAACCCATTTCCCTTAATTCATCCTGTCAGAACTGAAGGGAGACACGTCAATGTTCGGCTGAGGGAGTCATGCATAAAATGAGCATTATAAGTTGAGCAAACTAAACTGGCACGAAAGTGTGGGAAAATCAGATCTCTTATTTCTCCAGATACTGGTTTGCTTTGCAGATATGAGGAGTGGGTACAGAGGCCTGACCTGGCCAGTACGTGTTAACGTCAGTCCTAACTCACAGGGTCACACAAAACGCCTATGATAGCTGGGCCCAAACAAATAATAGACCTAAGAGGTCAGGAATGCACAATTTGTGGAATGGCTGCAAAGGACATTCATTCCTGTATGTGGAGAGATGATTTCCCCTCTGACATAAAACTCCATTTAGAAGTGACTGGGGCATAGTAAATTGAGTCACTCCTTGTGACTTGCAGGTTCTTATGAGTGCATCATTCCTGGGTGCCCTGTGTCTTTTCTCATCGGTCTGTGTCATATGTGCCATTTCTGCATTTACTCTCCCCATTGAGACCAAAGGACGGGCCCTGCAGGTAAGTGATGCAGAAATCTCTTAAGTTTTCTCAACTTCCATCTCGTGACCAAAGGAAATGCACTTGGAGTATGGAAGTTCTTTGAAGCAGACAAGACATCCGGGTGTGTGCTAACACAATGCTACTTGTTCAACGCGTTCCAGTAAAAATACCTGGGTATCCAGTTTTTTTGCATGTAACTTTGAGCAGTACTGAAATAAAAGTAACCAAGGATTCACTCCAAATCTTTGCTAAGCCCTTGAAAGAGGGTATTTATAGTGTGATTTTTCTGAATGAGGTCTCTATTACACTAGAATTAACAAAGCTACCGATGGCATTGTCAGGTACACAAGGGTAAATGCTAGGGTCTGAATTCCTTACAAGTTTATTAAGAAGTCTATTACTAGTTTCTAATGCCAGACAGCTGAGGATGAATGGAGAAGGCTATCTTCTGCTTAAATGTACTGATCTACTAAATCACTTCTTATTCCAGCAAATTAAATGAAGACCTTTGACTAATGTCTACCAGAGAAGAAAAATAAATTTTATCTTTACAAAGAGCTGTGGGACATTTTTAAAAACTTGGTTTAATTTTTGTATACTACTTGGTAATTAAAAAGTTGATGGTGTATTTTTGAAAAATAAGGCACAAGAGAATGAGGTGGGTAAACTTTATATTGTTATCTTTCTTGGGGTACTAGCTTCTTTCTTTCTTTGACATCAAATCTATTAACATTTCTTAAAGAAAACATACATATACTTGGAATTTTCCCATGAGGCCTGTAGCAAAAGTTGGCCTAAAATTTGGTAGCTAAGGCATGAACTTGGGGTTGTATCATTAAGCCTTTCAAAACGAATTTAAAATTAAAATTGGCATTTCTTTACAATATGGCCTCTGTGTTGATGAAAATTATTTATAAAATATGCTTAAATTAGCACGAGTCTTGTATATAATCATGAAAAAGCTGGGAATAAATGAGTCTTTCCCCAGACCTTGCTTTTATTATAATTGCATTGCTTTATGGGAGAATCTTTGATTCCCATGATAAAAAATTAAAGAGTGCACCAAGCTTTCCAACATCACACAATTACTTATCTGCCCTTTGTTGAGCACCTGTTTGCATGCAGGACATCAAATCTGTGCAAACCACTCTACTAGGTTAGGTATGGTGTGGAAAGAAAACACCCAAGCCTTTTATGATTCGATGTACTCTTAACTGATACTCAGGCTTATTGTAGAAACCTCACCTCTAAAACTAGCAATCCTACAGCTTGTCTCACCTACTCCTCCCATCTGCACTTTGCAGTGGAAAAAGAACTCACTACAACCAGAATTAAGTGTCCCTGTATTAGCAAACTGTGTGTGAGAGGGTTTATACGCCTGCTTCCATAGAGGTGCAAATCATTTCTATTTGAACCAGAGATAGTTTGCTAACTTTAAGCCATTTATATCTGTATAAGGCCAGACAGGAAATTTGTCACACACCTCTACCACCTTTTCAGCCTTAAAAAATGTAAAAAACATTTCTCTCAGCCAAATTTAACCTCTGGCCCTCTTTTACAGTCTAACAGGCCATAGTTTTGTTGAAACAAATTCCTAGGCCCAAAATGGAATAGCTCTTTCCCATAGGGCCATATGAGCAAACTGAAATCTGTGTATTAGAACACACACAAGAGCTAGCGGCTGGGCAGAGGGATCTCAAGCAAATTGCCTGTGGAGCCCTGATGCAGGGCTGGATCTTACCACCTGAGAGCATGACCTGAACTGGAATCAAGAGTCAGACGTTGGACAGCCCAGGTGGCTCAGAGGTTTAGCACTGCCTTCAGCCCAGGGCGTGACCCTGGAGACCTGAGATCGAGTCCTGCGTCAGGCTCCCTTCATGGAGCGTCTCTGCCTCTTTCTCTCTCATGAATAAATAAAATCTTTCAAAAAACAAAACAAAACGTTTAACTGACTGAGCTACCCTCACCTGGTGAGGCTGATGCCCCACCAAACTGAAGTAACTTTCAGGTCTCTGTAAATGTTCCACTTGGCTAGAAACTGTTCAGTGTGCCAATCACCAAGCCAACTCTGGCCTCTTATCCTATGAAAGCTTCCTGCCTTCTGCCCTAGCTTGCAGTTCTCTAGACTCTTGGGAATGGACATTGCCTGCCTCAATAAAATGTCAAGTAAGGGTTGAGTCACCTAAATTGTCATCTTTAGTCATTTTTAACTGGTTTTGGCAACAAGGACAAGAATCAGAAGCAGATTGCTAACAGCCTATGGAGCAGTAAGACACACAGGCAAGGAGCCTGCTGAATCCTCTGAGCTCACTGTTCCTCTCATCAAAACCAACGGCCATGGGTAAGTAACTCTAGGCATTGAGCTTTGCTTTCTTGTGTGCAACTCTCTGATCTAAACAAACTGTTTAAAAAAATGTATATGTGTGTGTGTGAAAAAAATATTTCCTAGAAAGATACCACAACAATTATATTGGGAGTCTGCAAGGGGTGGCAGCAGTTAGGAACTCCCAAAGCCTTGAAGTACGTCCTTCACATAAACTGCTGGGAGACATGGGAAAATAAATGTGAGCAGTTCTAACCAATGGCACAACAAAATTGAAGTGGGCACAAGTTGGACTATTCAAAGCCATTGCTACTTGGAATCTTGGAAGCCAAAGCTGCACCACTGGTGGGCATGGGTGGAACACTTAAAACATTCCCAAGCCCTCTGGGGTATTAATTTAGCTCTGAGAGACCTAAGACTTAAATAAGATCAAGTTTCAAAGAACTGAGTCTTCTACCCTCCAGCATACCTACTTAATGTCCAAGAACCGTGATCCTGGAAGCTCTATCTACTGACAAGAAGTGCACTTAACAGGAAGGGTTCCCAAATCAACAGCCAGAAGAGGGCACCTATTTTAATTAGTATGTAGAAGTCTTCAAGAGGTTTCAAAATTCCAAAATAATCTCACTGATTCAGTGCAAAAGGCTAATAAAATTAGGTACAAGAGGTAGTTAAGGCTGTAAGATGATGGGCCACTTTCAACTCCCCTCTTCCTTCCTTTACGTGAGTAATCAGTCTACTCATCCATTAACTTAATTGCCTTTTACTCTGAAGAGGCCAGTTAGTGGCCTTAAAATTGTTAACAGCTCCAAAGCCAGAAACCTAAGACAACAGCTGGGCTTCCCCTGTTGCACTCATCCTAGGGAGTCCATCATCAAAACAGTGGCCCACAGATTGGTGCCATCAAATGGGACGCTGGGGAAAATTGCCATCAAAGTCTGTTTTTTTAAGATTTATTTATTTATTCATGAGAGACAGAGAGAGGGACAGAGACACAGGCAGAGGGAGATGCAGGCTCGTCGCAGGGAGCCCGATGTGGGACTTGATCCCAGAATCACGCCCTGAGACGAAGGCGGACACTCAACCGCTGAGCCACCCAGGCGTCCCTCAAAGGTTTTTATCAAATTTGAATTCCCCTATATCTACTCTGAAAGGAGGGACCTCGAGATTCCATGCACCAGGTTAGGGTTGATGGGACTCTAAGGGATTCTATAAACTGCTACCAGTGATTCCTCAAACAGTCAAGGGAAAACTAAAATTAATGGAAAACTTTACCTATTTAAGTTTTTACAAAATGAGTTTTAATATCCAAAGTAGACAGTTTTCTTACAGTAAAGAATCTACCCAGGTATAGTAGGTTAAAGAATTTATGTCTTACAAAAATAATGACCATGCTTCATGGTGTCTTTAGCAGGTCTTCAAGTATTTAACCCAGTCTTCTCATTATTACAAGAACTAAAGTTTTATTTTTATTTTTTTTTTAAATTTTTTATTTATTTATGATAGTCACAAACAGAGAGAGAGAGAAAGATGCAGAGACATAGGCAGAGGGAGAAGCAGGCTCCATGCACCGGGAGCCCGACGTGGGACTCGATCCCGGGTCTCCAGGATCATGCCCTGGGCCAAAGGCAGGCGCTAAACCACTGCGCCACCCAGGGATCCCCCAAGAACTAAAGTTTAAAAAAAAAAACTATGTAACTTTGTTATTTGCCTTTAAAGTCACTTCAGTTAAATGGGTATCTCTGACAAAATTTCCCCCAAATCAAATTCTAAACAAAGTCTTTTTGACTACTGGGCATTTCAAAAGATTTTTTTTATAAGGAATTAGAATAAAAGTTTAATTAGTCTTGATGTTATAAACTGTTAATCGTTTCAGAAATCACTTTAAATTCCTAAAAACTTGATATATACTGGTATGTTATTACTCATAATTCCCATTATCTTAAAATGTTTTATCACAGAAATAATTCCATTATAATGAATCATCATTCAACCTTTAATCAAATTTGTCTTTTGTCATGAAGGTTCCTTCTGGCATCTGGTCTTATGTAAACACCGGAGATTCAAAATCAAATTGACTATCTAAAGGTCTGCTTTTCTTCCTAAAGCGTTTCCTCCCAGCACACCACAGCAAGAACTGTTCCTCCATTCCTTCTTTCCTCTCTGACCACCCTTTTTCTAATTGTTGTATCATGGAGATTTTAATGATTCTTTTGTCCATCTTTTTGCTTTGTTCTGGCTGGCAAGGAGGATACTATTACACACACAGCTCAGGCCATTACAAAGGAAGTAATGCAACCTCCAACTATTGGATTTATCGTCAGGCTAGTGATTCGTAGTTCTCTATACTTGTCACAGACTTCCCCGATTTCCAGTGCCTCACTTTCTCTGAAACAAATTCACTGGATCAACAGTTCTAGGGAAGTAGCTGGAATACTTAAGCAGGTCAACTGGCTTAAAGAGCCCCCTCTATAAGATCACTCCTTGATTTCTAGTTGGTTTGGGACATAGTGATGAGGGATAGAAGCAGAAAAATGTTCACCTCTGGCCCAAAAGGATGACCTATAACCTGTATAGTTTTGATAAGGATCAAATATGAACTGATTGCTACATTCTTAAAGGATCTTATGACTGCCTGTACATCTCACCAATAGTTAATTCTGAGCTAAATGATAAGCACCAGAGGAATCTTGTGAAAGTAGTTTTACAAGTAAAAAATCAAAGACATTTATGATCTAATACTGCCTGCCCATGCCCTCCCCCTTGAGCACTAGGTCAACCACCAGCTTCCTACAACAAAAAGCCTTTTCTGTGCAAGGGTCCTGTTCCTGAGCTATAATAAAAGCACTATTTTGCATCAAAATAATCTCAAGAATTCTTTGACCATTTTGCTTGCCATCCCACATCAACAGGAACCTTGAACCTGGAGCACTCTGCAAACTATAGGCATTGTTTTGATAAGAATTAGCGCCTAATATGCTGTGTTCTTTGAGAAGTTTTAAATGCATGTGAGCAGCCACTTACTAGCTAATAGATCATCTATCTGAATAAAACAAGAGAATGCAAGAACATTTCCAGCCTCAAGAATACAAGCCTAGGGACACTGGGGTGGCTAAGGGTGTGATCCTGGGGTAAGGGATTGAGTCCCACATCGGGCGGGCTCTTTCCATGGAGCCTGCTTTTAACCTCTGCTTGTTTCTCATGAATAAACAAATAAAATCTTAAAAAAAAAAAAATACAAGCCTGACATCTTTTCTGAATACTACAGTGAGCCAATGGTAATTGACAGTCATGTTATTTTTGATCAAACTTTATGAATTGTCAAGAGGATGATCAAAAGTAGGGACAAAGAGCTACAGAAATAAATTTTTAGGTCCAAGATGGACTCTGTTCAGGCTATGTGCCTTAACACCTAACCAAAACTTCATGTCCATGTCGCCATAAATGTTCCACTTGGTCAGAAACAGTATATCCAGCCAGCCAATCCCCAAATGCCAAGCCAACTCTGGGCTCTGATACTTGTTCTTTATTCTTCATCCCATGAAAGCTTCCTGCATTTTG